AAAAAAAAAAAAAAAAAAAAAGATCACAAGACCCACCTTTTTGAACACTATGGGCTCCTCTTCCCAGATCGGATTGACAGCGTTTCCCTGGGATGTCTTGGTCTTAAATGCCTTCCTCCTGGTGTCGACAGGCAAGCCGAACATGTCCACCTCCACATAGGTTCCAACTTTCTTATCAGAAAGAAACTGACCTGAAATAATCTAGAAAAAGACAATAAAAAGGAAGTCTTGGCAAATGAGTAACATTGAAGTCTGGGAAATGCAGGCTCAGGCTAGAGCGGTGCAAAGGCCTCTGGTAAGTGTTTGGAACAAAAAAGAAGAGGAAAAAAGAGTGAAAATATCTATTTTTCATTCATGGAGTTGAAAGACAAATAGTAAAACTGGTTAAGTTAGCAATCAGCTAGTAAGATACCAAAGTACAGGAAGAATAAATAAGACCACTGAAACCATTATGACTGATTTATAATAACCTCTAACTTCACCCAGGTAACCATCTACAAACCTGGGTGGTGTTTGCCTAGCTACAGAATTAATCAGCATTACAGAGTTGATGGAGAATTTAAGGTTACACATCTTAACCTTAATCCAAGGTAAATGCCTTGCATACTTGTCCCTTTTTTCCTGACCCAATTGTCAATTTATGTGCAATTCTGAGGGGTCTTCCCCTAATCATAAGGTTCTTGGAGACAAAAAATGTATCTCTCTATTTTATGCCAGAAAGAGAAGTTCTAGGAAGCCGGAGCTGGTGGTCCAAACCTGGTGAACCTGAGTCGAGGGGTTGGAACGTACTTACCTATTGGTCAAGAGCTTTCTGAGCTCAAGTCCGTGACAGGAAACAGAATTTCTGAGATTACAGCTGGACTAAGAGTCAGACACCCTGGCAGTACTGGCACAGCCATCAGAGACCAGTGAAGTCACAGTTGCCAAAAATTCTGAATAAGTTAGACAGAGTCCTGCAGAAGACTTTTGACATCTGTCTTAGGAAAATTCCCTTCCCCAGATGTTCTCTGGGGCTTGAGTACATGATAACTGCTAGCAAACATCTCTTTGTTTAACTAAAGGTTCTTCATGAAAACTTGTTAATTACTTTGTGCCATGCTTGAGACTTGTCGAAAGAGGAATTCAGGGCCAGCCAGATAGCTCAGTGGACTAAAGCACCTGCTTAGAGAGGTGCAATGACCAGGGTTTGATCCCTGACATGCTGTGTTGGCCTGTGATGCTCTGAGACAGCTACTGAGACTGGGTGTGGTTGCCCATGCCTGTAATCAGGAGGCTTACTATAAGTCAGATCTGCGTAGTAAGACCCTGTTGACCCTGTACTTAAAAAAAAAAAAAAAAAAAAAAATTGGAATTCAGATATACCACAGTTTGGATGATTATAATGTGAGATAAAAGCAGAGTCCTAAAGTAAACTAATGAGACCCTAATGTCCCCATGAGTAAAATAGGATGGAGGACCACAGTGTGAGTTCCTAAGTCCCGTCTGCAACTATAATGTCTATGCCAGATACAACTGACAAATGTGAGGTCCATCCTGGTGACCAAGTAGTAATGACCAGGGCAGGAAAGACCTGCTGCCAAGTGTCTGGTCCATTTGTGGACAGCTCCAGAGTAAATGCTATACTCTGAGCAGAAGCAGGAAGTTACACTTCCCCGGCCTCAACCATTTCCCCTCCACTTAACCTCACTTTCCTGTCTCTGTCATTGTTTAGTAATTGCTTGAGCTCAGACAGATTTTCCAAAAGGAAATAAACATCTGAGTTCAATCACTGGTTCTGCCAAATTAAATAATTAATTAATTAATTAAAATGGAAGAGTTTTCTGTTGAGGAAATAAATGAACAAGAAAACATGTGCACATTTAGACGAATCTGTAAACAAGGTAACAGTGTTACTACTTTGATTCAGCTATAATAATGGACAAGGATTTTGGAAATAGCACCGCTTTCCTACCGGATGCTTAGAAGTTTATCTCCTTCCCATTTGACAGGATCTAAACATCCTTTGCTGAAAGCATTTTCCTAAAACAAAAATAATTGTGAAACTAATTCAATTTTATTCCTTATACGTATGGTTCGAAACAACTTCATAAGTTATAATTGTTGAGATACTCAATTAAAAATTTATTTTTAACCTTTCCATAAAGTAATATAGTTTTGTACAATAAGGGTCTCAACTACTTAGCACAGACAGAGACTAGTGAAACTTTTTTTGGCAAGGGGGTAACTGGGGATTAAACTGAGGTGAGGCCCTTGCGCATGCCAGGGAAGCACTTGTTTCACTGAGCCATCTCCCCGGCCCCTAATGAAACTTTAACGGGGCCCATTTTACAGTTTTTCAAGTGTCTCAGTTAAAGACAAATTGCATTTATGTGCAATAAAAAAGTTTTTTTGTTCCACAGTTAATTCAGTTAAATACAAGACAAGTAACACTTTTTTTTTTAATTTTTTTTATTTATGTGTGTGTGTGTGTGTGTGTGTGTGTGTGGCCAGCTCAGCCCATCAGGGCGCAGGGCTGGCTGGCATGTGGTGCTGGGGGATTGAACTGCGGTCCCTGTGATTTGCTAAACTTGTTCCAAGTAGGTGCTCCAGACCACTGAGCCATCTCACCAGCCCCCAAGTAACACTTTTAAAAGATGAAACTTTAGCCTCCAGAACCAAAAAGGCTTACAGAATATGTGTAAAAGCTTTCTGTAAAAATGAACTTCCCTTTCATATTATTAAATATATTTCCTGATAGCTAAAAAAAAAAATGTGCTGTAACATCTATTTCAAAGACTGAAGAAAATCATTTGGAATTAAATTTTAGAATCAAATATATAGTTAATAAAACGACCCTTTTAGACTACTAATATGACTTTTGAAATCCCTGAATACTCTATTTGATATTTTAAAAAAAAATCCAAGCTAGGGTAACTTGAAAGCTTTTGTTCAATATTTAATAACATATTGAGTTCTAAGCTACTGCTGCTGCACACTCACAGAAACCAGTGGGGCATGGGGGCTGGGCAAAGTCAGATCTTTCCAAAACGGTACCTAATTTTGATGGTGACAGCTTGGTGGGATATTTACAACAGAACAGAGCACTATGGAGGGCTCATCTCACCAATTCATTTGTTTGTTTGTTTTTTTTTTTTTTTTTTTTTTTTGCAGAACCGGGGATTGAACTCAGGCCCTTGCACTTGCCAGGGAAGCGCTTATTCCACTGAGCCATCTCCCTGGCCCCCTGTTGCTTTAGCATGGAATTATAATCATACTGAGAACAAAGTCTGGTCTTTAATTTTATCCCTGTTGCCTGTGACACTTCTTCTACAGAAAAATACAGGAAGGAAGCAGTGCCTTAGCTAGTTATCAAAGTTCTAATATCAGAGCTACTTCTTTATGCAAAACAAGTAACAGTCCAATGTTTTTTAAGGACAAGTGTGTGACACAGGTGTACATACCTTGACAGACAACGTGTTGGCCACTATCCCATCTACAATGCCTTCAGTGAACGGATCAAAATGCTTGTCTGGTCGCCGCATGAACTCCGGCTTCAGTCTGTAGCCGCTCTTTCCGTTGTATTCATAAATCCCCATGTTTATTTGCATAGCCAAGTCTAAATATGAAAAACACAAACCTTATCACAACTTCTAATGAAGAAAGAAAAACTGTACTAAGGTCCACTTTTTTTTTTTTTTCTTTCTTTCTTTTTTTTTTCGGAACCGGGGATTGAACTCAGGCCCTTGTGCTTGCCAGGGAAGCACTTATCCACTGAGCCATCTCCCCAGCCCCTAAGGTCCACTTTTGTAACTGTTCTTTGATAAAAAGAAATCATTTTGGTTACATTGTTAGAAATAGCTTTTTTCCTACATTGTAAAAATCTAGGAAGCAGAAGTGAGAAAAAAGTATTCAGTTACAGGGCTGGGGAGATAGCCCAGAGGTGTAAGTGTCTGCCTGGCAAGCACAAGGCCCTGAGTTTGATCCCTTGTACCTAAATAAATGAATTAATTAATTTAATTTAATTAAAATTCCAAACTTTTTTTTTTGTGGTACCAGGGATTCAACTCAGGACCTTGCACTAACCAGGCAGGCGTGAATTCTACTGTGCTATCTCACCCCTGCCCCCTGATCTCTTTTTAAAAATTTCATTTATAACCCGCAAATCTAAAGGTAACACCGACAGTAGTTTGGTTTATAATGTTTTATTCACTGCATATATATTTTTGCATACAGCATGTCCATTTCATTAAATCTTTCTCTATCCTAATTTTAATGGCTGTATACAATTCCTTTAAATAGATATATTTGTGTAAATACATTTAACTAGTCCCCTCTTTGGATAATTTCTGTTTCTTTTAAGTTTCACCTTTTATATAATGTCTTAATGAACAGCAGTATAATGAAATCTTTGAAGACCTCTTCTGTGTTTATTTTTTTAGGAATAGAATTTCTTGGGGCCGGGGAGATGGCTCAGTGGAATAAGTGCTTCCCTGGCAAGCACAAGGGCCTGAGTTTGATTCCCGGTACCACCAAAAAAAAAAACGGAATAGAATTTCTGGATCAAAAGATGTGCCCATTAGGAAAGTGTTTTTGACAAGTCTTGCTACAATGTCCTTCAGAAAGTTTAGACCAATTTACATTCCTCTAAATGAGATTTTTGAGGACTGACTTCTATATACCTTCTGAAGCCAGGATGCTATAACTACGTATTTTATAATTTACAATCATAAATTGCCCATTGCTGTGGTCCCTTACAATGACTATGTAATTAGTGTATGTTGGCACTTTTCCAATGCACGAAGGTTCCTGGTCAGCATTTTCCTAACAACCAGTCTACAAAATGAATAATCACAAGCACTGTGACCGCCAAGTTTAAAAATGACAAGTTTTGGAGGCTGGGGGGACAGCTTCCGGGCGCAGCACTTGCCTAGCATGCAGGAGGCCCTGGGTTCTAACCTTAGCACCATAACCTCTCCCCTGCAAAAAATGACCAGAACCCAAAAAGTCATTGGGAAGTATCAGCTGTTCTACAGAATGTGTGGCGTGATTCTTTTCTGTTAATGTGTTCAGTAAATAGGTGATGATGGACCTACTTCAAAGTCCCACTTACATCAACTTTCTTTCTTTCTTCTTTCTTTCTTTCTTTCTTTCTTTCTTTCTTTCTTTCTTTCTTTCTTTCTTTCTTTCTCTTTCTTTCTGCATTGTGGTCAGCTCAGCCCATCCTGGGGGTGGGACTGGTGCAGCATGTGGTGCTGGGATTGAACTGCGGTCCCTACGCTTGCCTAAGCTTGCCCAAGCAGGTACTGTAGACCTCTAAGCTATCTCGCTGGCCCCTTAAATCAACTTCAGAGCAGTGAAAACATTGGAAAATGCCTCTCATTTTATTAAGCAATCAAAACTGTGATACCCAAAATTTAAAAGGAAAATAATACATCTATTATGCTTGACAAAAGTCATATTCAAAGCCGAAGAAACTGCATTAGTAAGTTATAGTCTGAACAATAAAATACAAGAACCAAGCAGAGTTTATCCTAGGAAGAAAAGAGTAATTACACATTGGAAGACTGAGTAAGATAATTGATCACATTAATGCACGTAATAGACATAATCATTCCAAAGAGCTATTTAATAACATTCAACATAAATTACTAAGATGCTGTTGGTTAATTAGGATAAGGGTATGTAGTTCTTTAAGATGTTAAATACAAGTACTTCACAATTACCCAAGTCTATCTTATACTGTTACAACATTAACATTTCTATTAATATCAGAAGACAATGTTGTCCACTCTCACCACCGTTTGATATTATTCTAAAGTGCTCAGTCCGAACCAGTAAGTAGGTGGAGAATTTAGATGTAGTTAAATGCCTGTGTTTGTGTGTTTGCAAAGCCCTTAGAATCTGCAGGCAAAACAGATTACTAGAAGAGCTTAAGAAGGTGGTCATTTATAAAACATATTTAATCATAAAATAAATATGCAAATTCAATATCCAGGAGCAATCCTATAAAAATATAATGCTTCAAAGGGAGGGAAGGGAGAAAGAGAGACAGACAGAGACAGAGACAGAGAGAGACAAGGGAGAGAGAAACAGACAAAGAGACAGGCAAGCAGACAGAGACAGACATGCACAGAGAGAGAGAGGGAAAGAGAGACTATGCTGAATGAATATAGGAATATTAAAATAAAAAAATACTTTCTTTTGATGGTAGGAAATTTAAAAATATTAGATTTCTTTCAATGAATTTATGAATTTGATGTAATTTTAACCAAAATCTTGTCTTTAATGGTCAGGGAAACATTTTGCAATTTAACTAAGTTTATTTGGACTAGAATTCATTGGCAATAAACAAAACAACTGAAAATTAATAGCAATGAAGGCAAAGTGCCCCTTCTAGGTAGTAAGACATAATGAAAACGATGTCATGGCATCAGGAAGCACACTAAGTTTTTAATAGGAAGCACATAAAATGACAAAAGCAGGTCCAAATTTACCCAAAAGATCACGTCTACTACACTGCAATTCCAGTTAAATGGGAGATATTTTAGGTTAAAGAAGGACTGACATCACTTAAACTATATACCAAGATTAAATTGGATAAATGAAGAGGTACATTACAGATTTTTTAAAAATCACAATAGAAACAGGAGTAAGTACAGAGCTCATGGTTGGGTGAGGAAGCTGTCATCCTAAAATGAAATGTTCAATTCTCCTCCTAAAATATTTTTTCACAAAATACTAACATTCTCTTCTATTAAAATTTTTGTTATAAGTGAATAGGAAAATTGATAAGAGTCCTGTTGAGAGTAGGCAGCTTATAAGATCAGAACAATAAAAAAAAATATTTAAAATGTTTAACCTAAACCATAGCCACAGTAATGTATTACTAAGGAAACCCTCAATATCTAATGATAGGAAATAGATATTCAGTGAGTTGTGAAACGTGCTTAATGTACAGCCTTTTCTGTTTAGCATTTAAATATGCACCTACATTTTCCTTTAACAATTACATGAAAAAAGTATAGGCTGAGGCAGGAGGATCAATGTGAGTTCTAGACCAACCTGGCTACAGAGTGAGCTCAAGGGCCATCCTGAACTGGAAAGCAAGACTCTGTCTCAGAAAGACAAAGAAAGAAAAGTATGTAAAAGATGTGCCTGTTATCAAGCTCAAAGTTAGCAGTGCGCAATCATTGCATGGCAACATTTCTAGAAATTTGTTTCTGTATAATTTTGGATTGTCCATTTTCCCTAAAAGAATCTCATGCTACTTTAAAAAGATAGATATGGGGAAGTATAAAGAAAATGTTCGGGGCTGAACATCAGTAGAATAAGTGTTTGCTTGGCAAGCACAAGGTCCTGAGTTCAATCCCCAGTATCGTTAAAAAAAAAAAAAAAAAAAAATGGGACCAGGACCAAAATGGGCAGGGATAGGGAAGGAAAAGCAAGGGGAATAGAAAAAAAAAAAAAAATGAGAGCAAAGCTTTTGTAAATAAGGAGGAAAAATGAGTTAAAGGGAGGGGAAAGGATCAGAGAAAAAAAAGAATCCCGATGCCTCATGTATGGGTACAAACACCCAATGATGAAAGTGATCACTATGTGTATCTGAAATGTACCAATACAATTAATAAAAAATAAAAATGTTAATTTTTTTGCTTAAAAGATAAATCAAGAACTGTACAACTATTGCCTTTTCACAACTCACTAAAGAAACTGTTCACGATTTTTGCTTTGGCTTTGCTGAGACCTCTGAGATTTGCCTGCGGTACTCTTCGGATCACATCTCCATCAGGAGACGGTTTGCAGGGCTGCAGGGCAGGAGCTGGAGCTGCGGCACTTACCCATTGTCTGGAAGTTCAGCGCCACCATCTGACAGCCGGCGTTCCAGAAGAGCTGGGGCATGTAGTTGGATGAATCCACCCTCGTTCCTTTCGGATAGATCCTGCTAAGCTGCATTTTGTTATATCTGGACCGTCATGTTAAGTAGTGAATGCAATTATAAAATGATCCCTCAGGAATACCGTGAGGCGGCATTCATTCTCCTCCATGGGGGTACGTCAGTGTTGAAGATGACCTTTGGCTAATGGGTACAATACTCAAAAAGGCCTTTTTAAAAGATTGGCCAGATAGCTCAGCGGACTAAAGCACCTGCTTAGGCAGAGCGCAGTGGGCAGGGTTTGATCCCTGGTGAGATGTGCCAGTCTGCCCCTGGGGCACGCTGAGACTCTGATTCAGAGTCTGGGTGTGGTGGCGTGCACCAGACTGGGTGTGGTGGCGTGCACCTGTAATCCCAGCACTTGGGAGTCTGAAAACAGGAGAATCACTAAGAGTCTGATCTACGTCGTGAGACCTTGTGGACCCTGTACTAAATACATTTTAAAAAGACTTTTGAACAAACAGAACAAATATGCTAGCATTAAAATAAACACAGCGTTACTTTTGCAGAACCTAAGGAGGCTGCATCAAGGTCAGCATGACTTTGTGGGCAGTGCGAAGGACAATCTTAATGACCAGGGAGAGCAGCAAGAGGGAGTGAGTCTATTCGCAGAAAGGACGACAATCCTGTTTGGCCAAAGCAGAGAACTGAACATGGACAGCTATTTTTGAAGTCTCTCTGCTCGTTTCTCCGGGAATGCTATTTACCAAGACGGTGGCACGCCTTATGATTGATGACGAGGTAAATATAGCGCGCGAGTCCTGACCCGGTCTCCTATTTTGACTCAGTTCCACTGAAGAGCTTTGTAACCACTGAACAGTGATACTGATCACCTTTAAAGTACCATCAACTAATTCCTATCACCAAGTTAGGGCGCAGTTAGCTACGGATCTGAGCCAGGCGAAGCGCAGTTGGGCTTTGACTCTGAAGCCGGGGCTGTGCGACTGGGGTGAGATTTCACCGGCCTGGGCCGCTGCTGCCTCCTCTGTCAAGCAGATTGAACCGTGTTCTATGCCACGGGACTACTGTGAGAATTAACGAGATAAAACACAGAACAAAAGGGGTGTCACGAGTCAGGGAGGAGGGCCACTGCGCACCACGGCTACCACAGGACTTATGAGCTCCGCTTGTCCCCTCTCCTCTCTTTGCGGAGTGTCATCGGTGGCTTTCACTATAGGAATTGCTTCGTGAAACTGAGACCTCTTGGAGAGTTAGCATTAATTTATGAAAAGAATTAGAGGTTTATTGCATGTTATTTTGTTCATGAATAATAACAAAGTGTGAATAATGCATGTATATATGCATATATATTTAAATATATATGTAGTTGGTACAGGGTCTCACTACACAGCTCAGACTTGGAGTAATTCTCCTGTTTTAGCCTGCCCAGTGCTGGAATTACAGGCCTGTACCACCATACCCAGTTTAGGTGCCTGGCTTGGAACGCCGGTGGGGCACTGATGCCAGTGAGGCATTGGTGCAAGAGAACAAATCTGGGTCCCTGTGCTTGGCAAACAGGTGCTTAGACTGCTGAGTTATCTTGCCAGCCTGGTGCTCTTATACATTTACATTCTCATCATCTCAAGTATTTTTGGTGGTTTTTTTTTTTCCTTTTTAAAAATGTATTTAGTACAGGGTTTCACTACACAGATCTGACTAAGCGCCCCCTGAGAGTGGGATCAGTACGGCATGCCAGGGACCGAACCTGGTCCCTGCTCTCTGCCTAAGCAGATGCTTTAATCCATTCAGCCATCTGGCCGGCCCCATCTCAAGTATTTTTAATTGGACATATACTACATATAAGAATGTGAGATGCTAAACAAGATATGTGTGCATATTTGTACATGTGCACATACACACGTTGCTTCTGTGCTACATGCGTAAGCGGTACACGTACTCTGGTCATATAGGAGCCCTGCACACAGGCCTTCATATGGGCAAGGCTGCCCCTCTTGGCACAGTCCTCCTGTCCCCGCAGTGGACACTGAAGCTCGCTCTCTATGTGCCTTGCTCACCCGACTCCAGCAGTGTGACTCAGCAGTTGCCCGTCAAGTCAAGGATACTCTACAAATTCCACAGGAGACTTCGTAAGTTGTTCAAGGCCTTTGGTTTCCACAAAGGAAGACATTTCAAAGCTTTTATTTCTTTCTGAGTTGAACAACAATAGGAAAGAAGGAGAGAAATAAAACTCAGTGTCATAAATTATAACAGAAAAGAAGTGAGCAAGTGTTCAGTGAAGTTGAAGGGAATTAATTTGGCATGTTCATTAATTAATTAACACGAAAATAACTTTCATGCTAAATTTTTTTCCCACTGACATATTTACCTGTAACAAAAGCTGAATCCTGCTGTTATCTCTTCAGGGATTACAGCTTGGTGAGATATACTCATGGTTATGTGATTTAAGGTAATGAATGAATTGTAGATGAATACAGTGTGGCAAGTAAACTAGTTCTGCCAAAACAACAGGGAATCTGTGGAAGTAGTTGATCTCAACCCAGCTATGCTGAATTCCTGAAGCAACTGGCAGAGCTTAACCAAAGCCAGGATGGAAAGAACTGTGCTAACACTTCCTGTCTTAGTCCCATTTTCACTTGCACAGCAGAATTATGATATTTCCAAGTAGAGGATCCTTGGAAATTCTCCAGCCTAGTGCCCTCCCTTGTGTATCAGACAACAAACACCTAGCAGGTGAATGAGCCACAGATCTCAAGGGAATTATAACCTGACCTGAAACACAAGGAGTCAAATATTTGAATCTAAATCTGGTTGGTCTTTCCTAACTGAGTCCTAGAAGTAATTCACTAGTAAATTGAGACAACTCCTTTATTGGCCAATGAAAGTTATACTAATAGAAAGGTAGCTACTTTACAATGCTCCAAATTGAATAAGTCTGAGGGGCTGGTGAGATGGCTCAGTGGTCTGAAGCACCTACTTAGAGCAAACAAGCTTAGCAAAGCACAGGGACCACGGTTCAATCCTCCAGCACCACATGCCAGCCAGCCCCGCCCCCTGGTGGGCTGAGCTGGCCACACACACACATAAATAAATAAATAAATTTAAAAAAAAAAATTGAATAAGTCTGGAGTAGTAAACTTTAGTGACAATGTCATCAAGAAAAGTTGAAATCCTTAGATATAAGCTCAACTGAAGGTTAACTTTTTTTTCTTCATATATTTAGTACAGGGTGTATAGAGTCTGACTACACAGATTGGACTTGTAGTGATCCTCCTGTCTTCAGCCTCCCAAGTGGTGGGATTACAGGCATGCACCATCATGCCCAGTCTTGGAGATTAATCTCTTGTTGCCGATATTTAGACATCATTATACCACTGTCAGGAGTCTTTCAGTAAAATCATATAAATATAAACATGCTATATAGGGGCTTGGATGATTTTCCACATTTTTATTAGAGCATAAAGTGACACACACTTATGGCTTTCACTTCAGCCGATCTGCACTTACATACAGCACTCTAATCCCTCCCTGCTTCCTGTAGTCCCCTCTGCTCCACCATCTCTCCTAGTTGCACATATTTTTTGGCGTGGGGTTTCAGTGGGGGCTTGGATTAGGACAGAGCTACAAAGCCATCTTTACAAGAGGCTTTTACAGTTAAGCAATATCTCAGTTTTAAGAGCACGTCCTTATAAGCTGGTAGCAAGTCGCAAGAATGCTCTTCTTCACTTAATTTGATCGTATCTTACACTTCATGTAAATGGGGGCACTGCTATGAAAAGACTCTCTTCTCCATGTAGCGGACTTGAAGGTAGTTAACTATTCTCCTAAATACACAGAATGCATGTGCTGTATGAATGGAATCTAAGTGGATTCATTCTGTTTGAGTTATCAAAGACTCTCCTGCTTCCTGTCTGGGGACTGGAGAGATAGTGTATTTTAACTTTGTCTCTTGTATAATTGATGCAGCCCTCATGTTGTCAGAGACCAAAAGCAAATGTAAATCTCTCAGTATGTTGCATGCTGCTCAAATATTGTTCAGAGGACCAAGGGGGCCCATGCTCCCCTGAATATTCTGGGATACTGTCCCTATATGTATCATATATATATATATATCTCCATTAATAAAAATGTCCAGAGGCTGGGGATTTAGTTCAGTGATGCAGCACCTGCCTAGCAGGCATAAGGTACTGAGTTCAATTCCTAGCACCAAAAATAAATAAATAAATAAATAAATAAATAAATAAATAAATAAAAAATAAAAAAATAGAAATTTCCAGAGGCAGCATGACATAAACTCCATCCATTCAGGTATTCATGACTTCATGGACAGAAGAGTCTTTTTAAGACAGAAAAGTTCTTTTAAGGGTGACATTCTTTGATCTAATTACCACATATTTAAAATATATTCTCTTTAATACAACATATAGAATTTTCTACAGTGACAACTTACTTTTTGAAATTTCAAACGACTCAAACTTGACTGGCTGGATGTAGTTCACCAGGGTGGACATCTCTTCTGTGGCCATTGCCTCACTCCCGGCAGTTCCCTGGAAAAAATAATAAAAACTAAAAGCTCAGACAAATTTCCAGAGGCAACATGGTGTTAGCAAGGGGCATTTCCCTAGGAAAATGATCCTAAGAATCCAGCTGGCAGAAAACCATCCTTTCTCTTCTGAAAGGGATTACTGCCGTGAGAAATTCCTTACAGGAGAAAGAGAAATCAATACAGACTAAGGATCTTTCGTTCAAAAAGCTTGAGACCCAAGCCTCAATATTGGGACCAATAATTCATATTTTACTCCTTTTAAGATTTTGGCATACTCACGTATATATAATGAGCTATGTCAGGCATGAGACAGTGTCTAAGTGCCAAATTCATTCTTTTCCTGTGCTCCTTACACACCTGGGTTGAGGGCATTGGTATGCAATACATAATTCTGTGCAAGAAACAAAGATTCAAGGGGCAGTTGGTTTTGATTTTAGAGCACTTTAGATTTTAGATTTTCAGGGCCAGAGAGATAGCTCAGCCACATAAGCACTTGCCTGGCAAGCGCAAAGTCCTGAGTTCAATCCCTAGTACTAAAACAAACAAAAGAACAAAACAAAACAAAACAAAAATCCTAGGTCTTTGTCACATAGATGATTTCTTAGATTTTGGATTTTCAGCTTGCGGACCCTCATCTGACAAAGGAGAGGAGTGAGAGGTGTGTAGGGCAGGCTGGGTGAGAACCTGCCCAGCCAGTCACCCGGGGAGGGAAATGTGAACGTCCCTGGGAGCTCCGGACACATAGCTGATGTCTAAGAGGAGTAAGTCAAGTTCTGCGCAATAAGAAACTTAGGCAGGTGACAACTGGATGAATTTAGAATTGTTATGGCAAAAATATGGCTGCTTCTCTTTCTGCCCTCCTACCCCTTTCTGGGCTCCCTTCATGCCTGTAACCCAAAGGAGCATGGCACAGTGTGGGGACAACTTCATAGCTCTTGAGCCAGGCCAAAGGGTCTTAAATCCGAATCCCATTAGTTAGAAATAGGAGATCTGGAGCAAAGGTGTTTAACTGCTCGGTGCCTCGGTTTGCAGTTCTGTAGAATTGGGATAAAATCAGTGCTTAACGTGTATAGTTTTCATGATTGTTTAATGGGTTAATTTATGCGAAGGAGCTCAAAACAGCACCGGAAACAGTAAAGCCTCATTTTGCTTCGGCTGTCATTAGTTGTTGCATATGATGTCGACAAAGCTTTTAATAACGAAGAGAGCTAATACTGCAGTATTGGCGCATGTAGGCTCCATGGAATGAGCTAGGTTTCTCCCATTTTCAGAAGAAGAAAACCACGGAAACTTAGGTTTTTCCTTTTCTTTTTTTTTCTTTTTTTCAAAACTCTGGTATCAATAGTTGGGTTAAATATCGACTGGGAACTACTCATACATTGGCAAGTTCAGCTGTTCAGTTAGTAAGACAGTCGTATACAGCGATTCAGTAGGACCCATTGAAGCCAACAGGGAGTTGAAATTGTTTTCTTGCAAATGTAAGATGAACACTAAGCAAGAACAGCTTACTACCAATTTTCAAACCAGAAAGTTAGCAGCACAGGCACCGAGACTTGCTAACGTATTTGAAATGAGATCGGCACAATCTTTTTAACTAGGACTTCTGCTAAAACAAAGTTCAAATTCTCATTGTCCCGCCTCAGGTGGCCTTCAAAATTCTGTGCAATTAATACAACCCGCTCGTCCCACCCCCCTCCTGTGCCTCTCTCGGACAGGAGCTTTCTTTCCCTCAATAAATATATTCTGCTAAAAATAAATAAATAAATAAAACCTTCTGACTTGGTGATGTTACTTGGGAATGCCTTAGATTGTCTCAGTATGTATCTCTCGTGTCTCCCAAATCACGACGATAGGAACAGGGTCATCAGTGCCGCTGAAATATTTCTCTGCATTCCATTCTTTGGGGGCCACCTGACAGCTGTTTGAAAAACCAGCGAGCCTTTTTTTTTTTTTTTTTTTTTTCCTTCGCCATGAATTTACCCTTACTGCCACTAGATGGCGGAAGGGACCGCAGGATTCGTCCTCGCGCGGCCGCGAACCCTGCCAGCCCATGCCCAGGCGCTGGAGCCCCAGCCCGGGAGCAGACCCCGACACCCACCTCGTCCATCGAAGACTTTTTACAGTCGTCGTCGTCGTCGTCGTCGTCGCTCTCCGTGTCAGCTTCACCTGTCAAGTTGGAATCGCAATTCAAGACTTTAGCGTGCGTAGGCCCACGGCACTCAGAACAGGGCTGGAGCCCAAAATTGGTGGTGCTCCTTAGCCCGGATGTTTTTAAGGCTTCTGACTGGCATACCCAGCTTCTTCCGCGGCACATGCATCCTCTGACCTAGCACAGACCAAGTACCCCTTTCCTTTCCTTGTCTCCCAAGCCCGACTCCGATGTGATGCCCAGTTGCGCCCCAGCTCAGAAACCTTGCCTTGACCTTTTCCGATGGCCCAGTCCCTAGCAATTAGCAAAAATGATTGCAAAACCTGGAAAGCGCACACCATGCCCCTGCAAACCCAATTACACACATATGATTGTCTAAACAACGCACATATTTTAGAAAATGGAACGGTCCTTTTAAAAGGGCAAGATAGTAATCCCAGCACTTGGGAGGCAGAGGCAGGAAGATTGATTTAATTTCAAGGCCAGGCTGGGCTACAAAGTGAGCTCAAGGCCAGGCTAAAATGCATAGTGAAATCTACCTCAAAACAAAAAACAACAAAAACAAGGTAAAATGCGTGAACACTTTCAAATCATTATTTTTGAAAGTCTAACTCACTCAGACCTAATTCAGATTCATACTGGCATCATTTATTGTTTATCATTATCATTTATTATGCAATAATTTAAGCAGATTGTTTTCTCCCCTGAGGATTTCATAGACATTTTTTTCCAGGCAAAATAGTCACATCAGGGCTGGCCAGATTGCTCAGCGGACTATAGCACCTGCTTAGGCAGAGTGCAGCGGCCAGGGTTCAATCTCGGGTGCCTTGAGACAGCGATTGAGACCAGGTGTGGTGGCACTCACCTGTAATCCCAGTGCTTGGGAGACTGAAAACAGGAGAATCACTAGGAGTCCAATCTACGTAGTGAGACCCTGTAGACCCTGAGTCTCACTAAATACATTTAAAAAAGATTCACACCAGTTTGAAGACTTACATTCTTCATGACTCTGTGATTGATTGATTGATTGATTGATTGATTGATTTTTGCGGAACCGGGGATTGAACTCAGGCCCTTGTGCTTGCCAGGGAAACGCTTATTCCACTGAACCCTCTCCCTGGCCCCCAACTCTGTGCTCTAGTGCAACCTAAGCATTTAAAAATATTTGCAAGTCAAAAGTAAAGAAGGGCTCAAGTCAACAACTTCTGTGGATAACCCACTAGTATTGTGGACTGCTGGACTGTGTTGGATTGTTTTTGCTGAATTCACGCACCTATAGTATTTAGATGCCAATAGAATACCCATTTCTGACAGGATTAAACAAAAAAGGGCAATACAAAGGAAGGACCATTTTGTATCTGTATATGCAGAATAGTTAGGAGAGATACACAGCTGCTTTCGCTTACTTCAATGAGAAGAAAGATTTGTACTAATAATGTTTGGACAGGATATTCTGTCTGCATCTTGTACTACGGATAACTACTAAGACGATAACAATGTACAATGTATTAATTATTGAAACTGTCCTATTAATCAGGTTTGAACTGTCTCACTGATAATTGTTTCAATAAAATTTTTATAAAAAGAAGGTATAGAACTGAATTAACTACTGTATTAACATGATCAGACCAGTAGATGGCAGTATTGGATGGACAATGAGGCAAGAAATGAGCACATACTGCCCGCCAACACAGCTGCTTTCTGAAGTTAAACATCCCCATTCAGTGCACAGAAATGACAAGGTACAGCAGCACTGTCTTCCAGGAAGCTTATAAATACTTTCACTTGGCTGACGACAATTACTGAATGACAACAGTGAGTAAGGCATTCATGAGATGTCTCTTGAAGGAATAGATGCTTGGGACCAGCAAGGGTTGTTATTTGTAAGTTATTAAAGAAGACCTCATTAAACCACTTTAGGGTGCCAAGCTTGCATCAATAGGGTGAATCAATTTTATTTTGAGCAGAAAATGTACCTTGTTTTATCACCAACATGTACTTTCAGAATATTGCCACTTAAGTACTGCTAATAATAAAAAAAAATTGCCTTAAGTTCTCATTTGTACTGCTTCTTTCGTCAGAGAGAGGATTCTTTTAATGAAATACCCTGAAAAAAATGTTTGGCAGAGCCTTCTACAAAACGTTTCGTGGGACACAGCAATATAGTAGTGTTTCCAAATACCCAGCCAAGTCATTTGTTGGTTTCTGTGGGAAAGAAAGAATTTGCCATCCTTTACTTATAAGAGCAAGAACCTAGGTTTTTTTTCTTGACAAGCTTTGAAGCGTTTTTATTTATTTTCAAAATTGGTGCATAGTAGCTGTATAGGTTTATAAGGTTTCCTCATAAGTCCTTGGAAGGGCCTGGAAGGAATCTTGTTGAACGATTAAAAATAAACAAAATCTTGAAGGCAGAATACTGGGAGGGCAAATGGCTAACGGAGGCCATGATAAGTAACTAAGCTTTGAAATAGGATCCACTTCATGTTTTTCAAGTCACTTGAGTTCCCAATACTGCGAAGTCTACAAACCAAGTGGTAAACTAGCAGTACTCTCTATTCAGGGGCCTACATATGTATGAAAATGTCCAAAACTTTCCACTGAAATAAATAATGATTGCACAAGAGACTACAGATGAGCTTAGGAAATCCACTGACTTGCTAACGGATTGCAGCCCTTGCTCTGTTATGAAGCAATCACATCCGTTGCCTGTAAAAACTGTTATTGGTGTTATGTCTCCACTTCATGAGAGGGAGAGAAGTGGTCGTGGGAAGGGCGGATGGCAGAGAAAACAAGCACCCGTGGTCAGGGAAGAAGGTGTGCCGGGGAGCTGTCAGGGGACTGGGGCTAGGTAGGAGACAGGTGGCTTTTTAATGATAATCACTCCTAGAGTTTAAAAAGCACATCCTTACTGTGATCGAAAGTGATTAGCGAAGAATGAATCACAGTTGTGCAATGAGAAACACTGACCGAAGAGCCACAGAGCAGAACCCTCTAAAAAAAATGACATGGTGTTTGTTGATAAGGACGTGGGTCCAAGCAATAAAGCAAATGGCAATTAGGGCACAGAGAGAGAAGGGAGGATGAGACAGTCTTGGTCAGTTATTATTATTATTATTAT